CCTACTGGAACCATCCTGTCCTGTTTTTGTAAATGTTTTGGAATTGTCTGCTCTCTTCAGGGCATTCAGTAGTTATTTTCCTCATGTATTGATTGTAGATTTGTTTGTTTCATCCTTTTTTTTTTTTTTTTTTTAATTTTGCTATCTCTGAGCAGGTGGCCTGTGTGTTCTTTGTTGTTTGCTTGTCTGTAGGCAGGATACTTTTCGTTTCTTTCCATAATTAGCAGTGTCAGTCACTCAGATATGGTACAGCAGGGCAGGTCTAGCTGAAGATAAGTTACTGGAAAGTGTTGTTTGTAGCACTTACCATTGCCATCAGGGCGGGTCAGTAATCAGTGGAGGGCACGTTCCGGTATGCTGTGCCTGTGCTGCTTGGTGGTGTGATGTTAAGTGCACGGTGCAGGTAAGCAGGATGTAGTGGGGAGATTGTGATGTGTGGAACTGAGATGGGTATGGGAGAGAGGAGAAAGGAACAGGAGCCAAAAACATACAAACAAACAAAAAAGTGCTAAGGGAGCTTGCCGTTGGAGTGGAGAGGTGAAGTCTATGAAATGGAAAAAAACAAGAAGAGGAAAAAGAAGAGAAAAAAAAAAGAATGAATAAATAAAAATTAGAAAGAAAAAAGTATAGCAAATCTCCCAGGGATCCCACCAGTGTGGCTACGAGGTCTGGGGAAATTGTTCCCAGGTGTTGAAGTACAGCCTGGCTAGAATGCATAGAGGTATTCAGTGCCAAGTATTCCGGGGACAGGAAGAGAAGGAAGGTATAGACAGAAGAGAAACTGTGTAATGATTAAAGAGAAAAAGGGAAAAAGAGGGAAAAGAAAACAAAACAAATTAAAAAAAAATAAAAACAAGAAAAGCTCTCCAAAATAACAGGAGAAAAAAAACCACAAAAAAAGAAATGCCCTCAGGGATCCCTCTGCGTGTCTGCACAAGCTGAGGGGGTAGGTCCCAAGCCGCGTAGCACTGCCTGGCCAGAACAGGCCCCGAGCTAGAGAAAAGAAAAAGAAAACAAACAATTCAAAACAAGCAAACAACAACAACAAAGCCCCAGGACCCCACCAGCGTGGCAGCAGACCAGGAAGCAGGTCCACACTTGAATGGAGCTCTGCAGCCTCTTAGGAAGAAGGAAAGATGGCGCCTGGAGCCAGGTATTTGAGGGAAAGGAGGGGGAGATGGTGAGAGGTAAGGAAGAATTCAAAAGAAGAAGAAAAAAGCATCACCAGCAGCCAACAAATGGCACTCAGGGAATCAGCCTGTGCAGTCAGGTGGAATCCACGCAGCCGGTGCTTCCCAGCCAAGAGACAGTGGCCGCAGGAAGAAGAGGAGGCCAAGTGGTTGTGAAGAAGGGTGGGAGGTGGAAAAGTGTATATCTCTGTTTACCCGTTGTTCTGTCTCCTGCTGGAAGCTCCGTGAAGCTGCTTTCTCATATCCCTTTTTCACTGGTCTCCAATAGGTGTCCAAGATGGCGGATCCATGCTGCGTTAGCTGATAGGGGACCTCTGCATGAATCTCTGCTCGCTCTCCATTCTCTGTCAGTTTCTCACTCCATTTGGTGCTTCGCTGAGTTCTTTATCTCTTCTTTTGATGTTTTAGGGTTTCAGGATTGCTGTTTTTTCTGTTTGGTTTAGTTTTTCAGATCTTTGCTGTGGAGGTACGGTGTGGTGCTTCTGCGTAGAGCGCCATGATACTGGAAGTGTTTTTCTATCCTTTTTCTAAGGCGCTTGTGGGATACAAAAGAATTTTGATTCAATCCCAGACCCCTAGCATGTACCATCTCATTAAGAAGACCAGAGCGTCTATAAATATGAAACAATTAGTGGACTGTACATGACATCCTATGAATAACACTAAGGTGTGAGCTGTGTACAAAATAATGTTCCTGTGTGATGTAGTGATAATAAGTTTGGGGTGAAATCCTTCTTCAGCAAGTTTTAGGCTTAGGAAGGGCTGGAAGAATAACTACCCCTTCATTTGCAAGTATAAATCACTTTCAAATCTTAACCCGTCATAAGTGAATATAAATTCAAAGACCCTCAAAATTGAACATGCCATGGGCCTTTTTTTTTTTCTTTCACTACCTATTATTCTAGACATATCTCCTTTGCGCTATCATGCATTCCTTCTACTACAGTCTGAGGCTACTTTTGTGATCATTCTGTTCAGAGGATATGAAGGGGGAGGTGAACAAGCAGCTTCAATGAAAATTAAAATGTTAAGGAAGTCCGAGGCAGTCAAAGAAAATCATGGGTTCCTTCAGATCTCTCTCCCAAAAGAGAATAAGAAAACAGAGACAAAGAGGGGAAGATAACATTATCATTGTCATTAAAACAGGAAATAGAAAGCATCTGAGTAACTCTTATCAGAAATGAAAGAATACTGAGTAGTTGTGCAGCTTCAGGTTTATGTTTAGATAAGCAGAGAGAGAAATAGTGAGAGATCAAGGGGAAGAGAAAGGCAGGGAGAGGGAGGTCTGGGGGCAATGGAGAGAGAAAAGAAAAAGGAGGAAAAGGAGTCAGAAGAGCCAGTCTTCATGGCAATGTTTTGCCACTTCCATTTTTTTCTTCTTACAGGAAGAAATGAGAGGTCAGGAATGGGAAAAACCATTTTGCTGAGTACTGGGAACTCCCTGACAATGAGCAGCAGTTTCACAATCTGTGATTAGTTATCCCCGCCCCTTGCACTAAGGAAATGCCTTATAACTTTCGTTTTGCAGACCGTGGCTTTTCTTTTCAGAAGAAGGAGAGCATTGAGGCTCCTTACTTATGGCTGGTAAGTTGAGGTCCTTTTCTGACTAGGGGCCAGGGGCTTGGGTCTTCTTAGAGAATACTTCATTCATTGCTGTATGACAGGCAAAAGTAACAAAAGGGAAGTGAGCCCAAAGATGCAATCTAAAATCTTTCCCTTATTTGCTCTGTGTGACTTGAATCTAAGGAGCCCTGCTGGCACAGTAGTTAAAGCCCTCTGCCGCTAATCACAAAGTTCAGAGGTTTGAACTCATCAGTTGCTCCACGGGAGAATGATATGGCAATCTGCTTCCATAAAATATTGACAGCCATGAAAACTCTATGAAGCAATTTTGCTGTGTCTTATAGGGTCGCTACGAATCACAATTGACTTCATGTCAATGGGTTTGGTTTTCTTGGTTAACTTGAATCTGGGGCATTGCCTTAGAGACAGTGGAGGATGGTGGTTTCCAGATGTCTCAGAGCCAGGAAGAAGCTAATTCTTTTCTTTCAGCATCTGGTAAGCAAAGGGAAAAAGAGTAAGGCCAAGCACAGTAAGTTATTTGTGTGTAAGGCGTCTCTAGAAATTTCCAAATGCATCCTGAAATCTTCTCTGCTTCCCTTTGACTCCAAATTAGTCATCTGGGTCATAAACATTGCTCCCGGTGTCAGAGCTGAGAGCCTTGGCATCCCCCCACCCTTTTGCCATTTCCTATATTGAATTACACTTTTAAAGTGACTTTTTAAAGAAACTCCCTTTTTTCTCCCCTTTCCCTCTAGTCCTGGTGCTTACTAGTCTAGCTCAGTATCTCTTGGATTGCTATCACAGCTTCTTAGCTGGTCTCTCTATCTCTAGGATTTAACCCCTCCCATCTATCCAGCACACTGCTTTCAGGTCAAGTTTCTTGCAGAACCTGAAAAAGCATAAGAGAGAGAGGCAAGAGCTATTTCTGCAGCTGGTATTTAAACATGTCCTCCCTTATTTGGCTTCATTATCTTCATTTCAGAAGGATGAGGATGGACTAGATCAGTGGTTTCTAAATATTTTAGCATATCCGGGTAATCTGTAATCATTTTTATTTAAATTCAGATAACTGCTTTCTCCCTAACCCTGAATTATTCCATCTTAATTTGGCTGGTAGACTGTAGAGGTTTACAATCTTTTAAAGACCTGCAAACAATTTTTATGTAGGTGGTCTGTCATAAATTTTCTGCACATTGGTATTATTGGGAGAGATAATTATTTAGGTACCTTTCAGTTCTCAATTTCTAGGTATCTATTAATGTAATTTTCTTATCCAGAAACACACAATGTGTCTCTATTGCCTTTAAAAAAAAGTCTAAACTTTTCACACAAATTTCCTACCTTTGAAAATATATTTATCCACTTTCCATTAATCCCCTGAAAGCATAGCTTCGGCTTCATATGGATTTTTTTTTCCACTGTATTTACCTCACTCATAGTTCCTTGTTATTGTATTGGTTTATTCATTTGATTTTCTCTGTAGTATAATTCTTTCTAGGGTTTGTCTCATGTCCAGACATTCAACTTAAGCTTCTAGAATTGTAAGGGTTGATTCTTTCTGTCCATTGTCATCTTCATTGTACTAATTAAGCGTTTGGCTGGAGAATGGCAGGTTAAATTCACACCAGTGACTGCCAGACAAGCTGACCTCACTGGTGACTGGATTAGAATCAGGGAATCCTTAGATAATAGATGTGAAGAATATGAAGGCACTACACAAACACAAGTAAATTGGCTCAATAAGTATAACCAACGAGTTCGGTTGACTATTGTTAACTAAATCTCCTGAGGAACAGTATCATAGAATGTGTTAGAGCGTTGCATCAAATTACCTGGGACCAAAAATGAGATTTTGGTGAGTTTTCTCTCTTAAATTATTTCCTCCGTTTCCATTACTACTGCAACCTGAATTCAGTGGTTATTATAATAACAACAGCAAAAAACACATCAACAACCAATTTTTGAGCACCTTCCATATGACGGGTACTTACGTATGCTCTCTGAGTGAACATTAAAAACTACTCCATAAGGTTGGTTCTGTTATCCCATTTCCATTTTATAGTTGAGAATGATATTTTAAGAGAGGATAAGGTGCTTTGGGAGTACATAACTTTGACACTCCATTTTTTCTAGGAGCATCAGGGAAGCTTCCCTGAAGGAAATGGCATCTGATCTGAGACTGGTAGAACAAACAAGAAGGAGTGGGGGGAGTATAAGGTATGTGGGAGTGGGGACACTGCAGGCGTAGTGATCCCCAGCAGAGATGTTCTAGAAACTGAAAAAAGGGCAAAAAGTTTGAAAAGTAATAAGCAAAGTAGGGGTAGTAGCAGGAGATGCACGAATAGGCAGACAATAGTTCATAAAGGATCCCTAGGTCTTGTGTATTTGTTTCCTAGGGCTAGTGTAATAATTTACCACAAGCTGGGAGGTTTGAAACAACAAAGACTTATCCTCTTACAATTCTCCAGGCTAGAAGTCTGAAAAGCAAGGTGTTGGCAGGGTCTTGCTCTCTCTGAAGTCTCTAGCGGAGGATCGCCCCAGACGTTCCCTGACTTGTGGTAGTATAACTCTAATCTCTGCCTCCATCTTCACATGGGCATTTTCCCCCCGTGCCTGGGTTTATATCTGTGTCTCTCCTGCTCTTCTTATAAAGACACCTGTCACACTGGATCAGGGCCAGTCACATCCAGTATGACCTCATTTTAACTTGATTACATCTGCAAAGTCTCTATTTCCAAATAACGTCACCTTCACATTATCAGAGATTAGGAGTTCAACATATCGTTTTTTTAGGTGAGTGGGCACATTTCAACCCACAACAGTGGGAAACGATTCTACCTAAAATACCTTCTTAAAGGGTCTGTGGCTTATTCCAAAATAAATGAGAAGGCCTAGATGAGATTAAGTGCAAAGACTTCATGACCAAATCTAGATTTTGGAACCCTCTGCTTTACTGTGAAGACCAGATCAGAAAAGAGCAAGAGTAGATTTGAAAAGTTCATGGAGTAATTTCAAAAAAAAAGAAAAAGGAGGAATAGTAATCTGAACTAAAGTAATGAGCAGTTAAAACTAAGAGAAGTGGTCAGATTCCACAAATACTTAGCAGATAAAGTCAATACAGTTTGGAGCGAGATGGAAAATAAAACATAAAGAAGGCAGAAGAAGTTCAATGTCATCAAGTTTTACTAGATTTGTGTACTTGGGAGTTATATATGTTCGTTTATTAGAACAGGGAAGGAAAGAGGTAGATGAAAAATGAGCACTTTGGCTTTAAAAAGCTGAGTTTAAGGAGTCTGTGAGATATCAAGAAGAGCTGTCTCATGATCTATTGGATATATGAGTCTCAGTTTCGGGATCCACATTCAAACAATGCTAATTCTTGAAGTCATGAGAATGTGTAGATGATGAAAAGAGAAACTAAGGCTGAACCTCTGGTTTTATTGCTACCGTATTTCTTCCCATACTATTCATCTAGTCAAATCTCTCCTGGCTTGTTTAGGGCACAAATAAATAAAACAGAAACCCTGAGGCGGGACAGAGTAAACATTCCATACATTAGCCTGTATTCTCTTTGCATTTCTTCACTCTCTGTTTCAACATCTGTACACCATATTTCAAGAGCAGTGCTTTGCTACCTCTTCTAAGAAGCTTTTGTGACTTTAGGTGCTGGAATTTACCCAGTCTTCCCTGAGTCCCTGAAGCACTTTGCATTGTCTTAAATAGCTCTTGACTGAGTATAATGTAACAATGTGATACTTAAGGCTGTGGGCTCTGGATTCTGCATCTCTGGATTTGAACTGCTGTACCCCACTTAGTGTAGATATTATATTCTATATATACAGTTGAGTCAGTTACTTAAGTAACTTTTCTATGTCTCTGTTCACTTTTCTATATAATAAAGATATTAAAGTACCTATCATATGGACTTTCTGCACTACTGCTAATAATTATAATGATCTAAGAGTCAGAATCGACTCAAGGGCAACGGGTTTGGGTTTTGGTTATATTGTTTTATATGTATTGTTTAATGACAGTAAGTGTACACAATGTCAGCTCTTGTTATGTTAATTGATACTAGGTAACTTTTATTCATGTTTGGTGACGTCCATATGTCTTTATCTTAATATCTGCACAATAAACAAGTATTGAAAGGATAACTTAAGATAATATGAAAGATGAGATTGGTGCTTCTGAGCCAAAGTTCTTGTTCAGTGTCCTGGCATATTTGTTTTTAGAAAATATTACTTTGTGTCAAGCCTATCCTTACATCTAGATGGACTGGATAACTTCCTTTATAGAGTTAATTGAGTAATGACGTGCTATCCTGCCTTTTTATTTACCACCTTGCCCGCATTATATTTGTAGTATTAAAACATAAAAATTGTGACTTTGGTTTATATGTTTCCCTATAAAAATTCAAATTGTCCTAGGGGCTGGTACTTTAACCAGCTGTCATATTAATCTGCTATATTAAAAGATTCCTCATGATATTATTTTAAATTCTAAATGTTGATTGAGAATAAGATATTAAAGAATTAGAACTCTAGATGCATTTATTCATTCATTCATGTATTCAGAAAAAATGTTAAGTCCTTTTAAGCATTAAACACAACGATGTGGTTATAGAATGTATGTAAAAAGATGTGGATTCAAAGACATGGTGATTTCACCAAGGAAATGAAATACAGGGAAGAGGAAATTTCCTACAGTCTAACGGGGGAAATTTACAGTCTAGGTAAGGGAATTTCGAGGAGGAAGAGAAAGGTCATTAATGTTGCCTTAGACAATACTTTCCAGGTAGATAATCATCATCATCATCATGGACTATGGGCAAGAGAAAGGAAATACAAGAACAGTGGACTGGGAAGTTAGCATTAGGCTCGATGCCACAGATGGGAGATGAGAATGTGTAGATGATGAAAAGAGAAACTAAGGCTGAACCTCTGGTTTTATTGCTACCGTATTTCACTGACAGTGAATCATTAAACCCAGCCTAGCATGAATTGACAAAGTAAGAGGCCTCTACACATACAACGAATGGGTATTCAGTTTGTTGGGGAAATGGTGAAATAGTTAGAAGGTATTTTTTTAAGGATATTACATATTATAAGGAACTTTCTCTAAAATGCAGACAAAACTCTTTAAGTAATGTCTATACTTAAAGGAATCTTTGTATTTTGACAGAAGACAACAAAGAAAACCCATTTAAGGTTTTCGAATCCTTGGGCAAAGAAATATTGAGTGACCTTTTGGATAATGTGGAAAAAAAATACCTGAACTTGTCGGGCACAGAAAAGGAAAAATTTTATGATGCCAAACCTGCAGACAAGCTTCGGGTGTTGGAGGCCTCTGTCCGAAAGAAGCGCGATGAGGCAGGCCGAATCCTTGTCGAAACGTTCTTTAGCAAGGAAAAAGAGTCCACCAGTGCAGAAGGTAAGACTGGATTCATTTACACTCATTCATTGTGTGAGTGAGGCACAATGAATGTCTCATATTTTCCAGGATCTGTTAGCTCCAAGGCCCCTTCAGTGTCTTCTCAGATGCTTGCATTCTTGTATTACTTAATATATCATTCTCACTAAACCTATCGCTGTCCTTTTAGATGCCACCTAGTCTTCTGTGGGTGGAGATCCCGTTTCCAGTTAGCTGAGAAGCTGAGTCCTTGTGTTTAGGCTGTTCATACTTAATAGCTAATTGTAGAGACTTTATCATGAAGGATAAATAAACCTGAATCCAGGTTCTATCAC